TCGAAAATGGAAAAGAAAGAACAAGGGTTCAAGAGATAGATTTCTCTCCCTAAACCTAAAAACAAATGCTTAAAGTAAAATTTCTTCTAAAGTATTTCGTCTCTCTTCTTCTCTCCATAAAAACGACATAAATGATATGTATTTACAGTCTCCAATGCTCTCTGGTGTCTAGGATTCCGGAATTGAGGCTGAGAAAATGATATGGGCTTCAGAAATGAGCCTTCGAGTTCAGAGTTGGCTTGCCGCGGTCGGGATGTGCGTGGCCGCGGGGAATGGATGGTTGGTCGTGGTCGGGAAGCCTCTGACCGTGGTGAAATAGCTGTTGGCTGCGGGTGGAAATGCTTGCCGGCTGGTTTACGGAACATCTTGCTCTTCGCGTATCTTTTGATTGAACCGTTGGATTGCCAAGCTGTAAAGTGTGCTGGAAAGCTGATACTTCCATCTTTGAGATCTCCAAATTTGAGCTGGATCAGAAGGTGAGAAAGCCTTCAGTCGAGGGTAAACTTCTGACGATTTGACTCTGAGCTGAAAATCTGGTCTTCTATCCATTTTGTTAAGTTTTTCCCTAAGTTTCCTGAAAATAGTCTTGAAACTACAAATAGTAGAAAAACATAATAAAAGTACTTGAAAGCAATAAAAAACATAGAAAAAGTATTTCAAAACGATCCATAAAGGTTGTCAAAATACGGTGTTATCAGAAGGGCAAAGGAAAATGATGTTTCTGAGTTGCTGCATTCAGTTTTTGGTAGTCGATGCACATTCGATGTCCCGTTACTGTTCTTGTAGCGATCATTTCATCCTTATCATTTCTGACAACAGTTACTCCTCCCTTTTTTGGGACAACATGCACAGGACTAACCCAAGTGTTATCCGAGATAGGGAATATGATTCCTGCTTCCAAAAGTTTCATAATCTCCTTCTTTACTACTTCTATAAGGTTTTGATTCAATCTCCTTTGGATTTCAATCGAATTTTTGGCCTTGTCCTAAAAATTTATCTTGTGCATACAAAGGTCTGGGGATATTCCTTGTATGTCATCAAGATAATAACCTATGGCTTTCCTATGCTTCCTTAACTCATTCAACAGCATAGCAGTTTCAGCTATACTTAGACCGGAATTTATGATGACAAGATATGTTGAATTTGGTCCAAGAAAAACATACTTGAGTCCATCAGGAAGAGGTTTAAGCTCGACTTTTGGGGCTTTGAGTACGCTCCATGGATGGTTTATAGCTGCCAAGGTATCTTTTGGAGGGATAGGGATGTGAGTTTCCTCATTCAGGTCGAGGTAGTTCACAAGTTTCACATAATCCTCGGCTTTATTTAGCATTTGCGCACACCCTTTCGAAACTTCTTCGAGTAGGTTGCGATCATCATTTGTGTTGGTGAGGATGATTTTTAAAGGGTTGTTAAGAAGGAGTTCTTCATAAACTTCTTTAGTGATCTCATCAAGCTCATCAATCCAGCAAAGTCTGCCATCTAAAGTGGGTTTCCTAAGACTTTTGTTCATATCAAACTGCATAATCAGACTCCCTAGATGGAGGTCTATTTTTCTTTCCGAAGTCTACTTTGATAAGCTAACTAGATTAAAAATTAAAAATTCTGATTCTGCAATAAATATCGACTGAAATTATATGAAAATCATTGGGTAGTTTAATCACTTGCTAACTAGCATTTTGATAACACCACATTTTGACCACTTTTATGGATCACTTTTAATATCTTATGCAGGTGTTTTCATTCAGTTTTAAAGGTTTTATAAGTGTTTTCCATGTTTTGGAGTTTTAAAAGGCTTTTCAGGAAACTTGGAGCTTTAGAGTGCATTTTGGAGCACAATTACATTTTTGGATAAATTCAGACCGTCAGAAGTTTGGCAACAAAAGAAGACCTTGTCACCGTCTGATCATCCCCAAATTTTGAGACTTTATAGAGAAGACAACCAGATTTCCAACACACTTGAAATCAAAGCAATAAAACGCTTTAGATCTCCAGATATCATCAATGCACTGAAGGTGGATCAACACAAGTCTAGTCAAGGACATAAGCTTTCACCCGCGGCCAAACTTGCTCCCACTACGGCTCAGGTCCTTTCACCCCCGGTGGACCTCAGTACGAACCTCAGGAGCTCAACTAAGGCCCAAAACACTTCATGCACCCATTTTACAAGCCCTAGACGCCCAAAAATGGAGAAACACTATAAATACTCATTTTAAGGTATTTTGTAATAGGAGCCTCTTTCTTCTCTTTGAGAGAGAACTCATTTGTAGTTTTAAGTTTTTTTTTTTTTTATGAATCTGTAGAAGTTTTTCATCGCCACACTGTCTTCAATAAGAGAAGTTTTTCTGCAAATTTTGTTTCTTTACTTTTTTTTTCTAGTTCTTAAACCGATGATGATGTCTAACTCATCTATGTCTTAGTAGTCACCAAGTTGGGTGAAGGGGAAATCCAAAGGGATCCCATGTTTGAATGATTGGTTCACCCGCTATCACCCACAAACGCAGCGTTTGCGGTTGATAGCGGTTAGTGGCGTTTTATCACAATCATAGAAATCGCTGCAAATCGCTTTATATCGTTTTATACCGCTGAACCCTAAAAGCTGCTTCCCGTCAGCGTTTGCGGTTGAGCGGTTGGGTAAAAAAAATAAAAAACAAATAAAATCACGCTAAAAAATAAAATAAAAGATCACGTTAAAAATAATCATAAAACCTTAACCCTACTAATCTTCTCCTATACATATAAACCCTAACATCTCACTTTTTTTATCAAGTTCTAGTCTCTAATCATGGCTTTCATATCAGTTGAAGAAAATTAAAATACAAGCATAAGTGCCATAAAACTTTAGTTTAATTCATTTATATTACTTGTTCTGTTTCCACTTTTAAAGTAAGAAATTATAAATATGTATCTTATTAATAACAAAATTAGTTTGTTATAATTTTTTTTTTGTTATTCAGAAAATTACATGATCAAACGAGATGACATGTGCGTTATTTCAACGGATTATCCTAGAGTGCACTCCAGAAAGAACGTATTTTGAAAAATACTTATGAACAATTTGGAGTTGATTTGAGTTGGGGTCTTGAAAAAAATCGATTAGATCAATTGAAAAATTTTACATCATGCATAAGACAAATCCAGAAGATCCACGTATTGGAGCAAATTTTTTCCAGTCTATTACATTACTAGACACAATTTTGGGTGATGTTCCCAATAACTGAAATAAAACATATTATTATAAAATTTATTAGTTTTTAAAATAAATATTTAGTATTTATTTATAATTTTTATTAATTATTTTGAACTAGTGATTGATATTAATCATAATAATATAGTTTTTCTGTTTTTTTTTTATAATTATATATGATGTTTATTTTGGCAATTTTATGTTTAACCGCCAAAACAACCGCTGGTTTGCCAGTCAAAAATGTCCCGCAAATGGACCCGCCTTAAAAAATTTAACCAGTCGTGTAAACCTCTGAATAATGCTCAAAACCGCAATCGTCCGCTTCTGCAAACTCCCGCATCCGCAACCGCAACCGCTGCGTTTAAACCAGTCAAGCCGTAAATTCCTTGTGTTTTAGAACATGAACTCTAAAGATGAAACTTGAACCCAGCGCCGTTTTTCTATATCGTTTCCAATTGATTTTTACTTCCAGCTTTTTAATTCTCTGCTTAATTAGATTGACGAACCAAAACCCTTTCTTATTAGATTAGGTCTACGATTGTTAGTAGCATCAGTTAGAAGTCCTCAACACACAAATCCCTGTGGATTCGATCCCTAAGTACTACTGCGTTTGCTGTGCACTTGCAGCTTATCTAGGGTAAAACTTGTGTTGCCCACTGCACCCACATCAAGTTTTTGGCGCCGTTGCTGGGGATTTGTCGTTTTTGACTTGATTTCGTATTCTAATTTCAATCCTAGACCACAAGATTTTCGAGTTCTGTTGGAGATTTTCTAATTTCTCTTTTTATATTTGCTTTCTTTGCTCTCAGGTGCATGAAAACTAGGAGAAATCCTGTCAACATTGTACCGCTCTTAGACGAGATTGAAAAACACGAAAGGGAACTTCAGAAACTCAGACGAAGGACGTTCAAGATGGCCAATCCGAATGCCCATCAAGAAGATCTTTTAAAATGTGATCATCGACGACCGTGATTCTATTCACGATGATGACCGAGATGCTGCCCATGAAGGAGATGGCCAGCCACAACTCGATGAAGAGAGAAACCAAATCCCTAGAAATGCTGCTCAAGCCGCTGATAACCGAAGGAGGACAAGACCAGGTCGACCCCGAAGAAAGACGGAATGATGAAAACATTTTTCCACCAAATGGTAGAGAGGCCAATCGACCCATATAGCTTGCCAATCCTGCGAGAAGACAGCCCCGCAATAGACTTATTGCCGATTTCGATGCACCTCACCAACACTTCTAAAATAGATCAACTATTCAAGTTCCTACCCCAGCAAGAAGAGATCATGAGATAAAACCTCAGATTGTCTCTCTGGTGAAGCAAAATGAATTCCAGTGAACCTCAGATTGCTGCAATATATGCCGCTAAAACCATAAATTTTATCCAATACACAAATATTGAAGCCAAATCATAATCAATATCGGATATTAAACACATCAAGATTCGTGCTAACTCAACAGATGACAACAACATTATCATTTTCAAACAATAATTATTTCAAGATACAGAAAAATTGAAATATAGAATGATTTACAACGACAAAGACAGCAACGACCTTCATTTTGGTTGATTATTAAAGACAAGTACATGATTAAACAAAACCAATATAGGCGTGGACAATAAAACGGCAATGGACAATTGTGGCGACATTATGGACTTAAAGAGAAACCCGGAAGAAAAGAGGAGAGATTAAACAATGATGACAAAGTTACGAAATTTTGACTATAAATAGATCACCACACATATCAATTTTTCCCACCAAAGTTAAATTTTATAGAAAAGACTATAAGTTTAAGAAAAACAAAGAAATGGCAAAGAACATCAACTACGTCAGCTTCACAATGCTCTTGCTTGTCCTCGTGATAGCTTCAACTGGTATTAATTTAAGAATTTGATATCTGTTATTCTTTGCGGGTTTTTTTTTTCTTCAATATCTTGTGCTGATGATCTTGTATGATTATGTCAAAATCTAGGAATTTTCAAGAGCGAGGCTATTGACTGCGTCAATAACAGTGCTGACTTATGTCCTCTCCGTGTGTTCTACGAGGAGTGTGGGCCTAATCCGTACCCAGGTACAGATGCTGATTGCTGTAACTGTTGCAAAACCACATGGGGGAGTCCTCCAGTATGTTGGGCGGTTGTTGAGGGAAACCCGAAACATTGCCACTGCTACAAAAAATTATGAGGATTGAAATGACTTTTGTTTTCAGTTGGTGTGAGGACATGTCATATGTGTATGTCTATTTTCAAGTTTTATTGCTTCCAAATAAAACATTATATAAGGGCAAAAGCTTATAACTGATTCACTGCTTGCCCTCAAGTATAAGCTCTGTTGCATGCACTTTTGTATCATTCTGTATATATATATATATATATATATATGTATGTATAATAAACTCGTTTTGTGTTTGTGTTAGGCATTCGATTCCCGCCTACACTGCATTTTCGGTCTGTAGTTATCCTCTACAAATATTGACCAAATCTTAGACAGTAAGTTCAGTGTGGATCTTGCTTGTTGTCAAATCTCTAAGTTTTAGAGATAGGCCCTCCAGATTATAAACTTTTCTATTTAATCACTCGAAACCCTAATGAATGGGATTTATCCACGTCGTTCTCTTCGTCGTTCAAAACGCTTTATTAAAGCCTTGCGCGCATATGTAACATACATTAGTGAATATTTATAGGGAAGAAAGTTGAAACGGCATTATCAGGATCCCATTCCTAGAAAGCTAGGAGATTTGTTTGATATCGATTTATTTAAGCAGCTTCTAAAGGGCTTAGTGAAAAGTGTTTGATGGCAGCACAACACAGCGTCTTTGTTTATAACAATGTCTACCAAATGCAAACACAGAAACGGAAATCTAAGGGATATATCGTATTGATGTTCACAAGAGTCTTTGAGATAGCCGTGAAGAGCAAAATAACTTCTGCACTGACTGATTTGTAAAACGGCATAGCACATTCTCTTACCACTTCACATTAAATGTAAGATCTATATATATTGTTTTGAACACCTTTACCTATTTACTGAATTATTCATTTCACTAACATGTTAACATTAATCTCTTCATGAATAGTGATTTAGTTTCTGAAACGCCCCATCCCCGATTCTAAGGAAAGATGGAAATTAAATAAAAGGGCACCGATCAAGAAGATAGGTATCAAACGTGAAACAAGATGGTATTTACTGTAAAAAGTACCGTTAGTCACAGATCATTATTAAAAACACAAAAAGCACCAAAAAAATGAATTAGGACAGGTCTACTAACTGAACGAAGTACCATATGATTACAGTTGGCTAATTTCATATCTGAATTTTAAAAATATAAGGTTTTTTGTTGAATATACGAGTACTCGTCTTTACCGAACAGTGCCTAATAAAACTATCAAACACAGACACGCATGTTAAAAATTCTATTAAAAAAAAAGACAATCAAAGTTAAATTAACTCATCATAAAAACTAATTGCCCAAACAATAGTTGAAATCTGAAAAAAAAAAAAATAGTGAACAAACAAGAACGGCTTTATGAGCGTGGATAGGAGGAGTGACGGCCGCCACATCAGAGGCGATGAAATTATTTTTTAATTGTTTAAGAAAGTGAAAAAAAATTAGCAGTTAGAAAACTCTGTAAATAAGTCTGAAGACGAATGATTTATTATATATACAATAATCCTTTTGATGATCTCATGATATCATATTCTCAGACAAATCCCAAGAACCCTAATGATCGTACAAATCCACTCGAATTACATAATCACTTTGTATTTGTTTTGTAAAAAAAAGAAAAAAAAAACACGATCTTGGAATTATTGATTTTTGGCTTCAATGCATCCTTTGGAGAGACGTAGTCTTCAATTGTAACGGCTCATATAAAAGATAACATTCATCCACTTTACGGACCATTCGTGGGATACAGCAACGGCTCAGATTCGATGTGAGTGACGTAGTCTTCAATTGTGTAGAAGTAGCGACGAGGACCTTCCCTTAAAGCTTGCTCCATCTGTTCAAATTTATAGCTATCGAGAAGGTATTTATCGCGAATGTACCTTAGTTGCTTCTCGTGTTTGTCTTCCGTATCACTCGTTTGATCTGACTGAGTGAAACGAACACGTGCTGCGCAAGACAACACAGAGAAAGTGATCAAGATGAAGACGACGATGAAGGTGATTGTTTTAGAATTTGCCATTGGAAGAGACGGAGAGTGGTTTTTAGGTCAGGTGTAAACGAAAACTTTGGAAAGTTGGTTGTGTTTGTGTGTCTGCGAAGGCGTTTATATAGAAAAAGAGGTTAGGGTTTCAGGTTTCAGGTTTCTAAGATTGAGAGAATGGTTTTGTGATTTTGAGTTTGTGTGCATGTTTTTATATAGAGGAGGGATAAAAGAAACCGGCCTTATTTATTAATTGAGAGACCGACCTTATTTATTAATTGAGAGACCGACCTTAATTTATCTTTTTTTCTCTCGTAAATTTAGTTTGTTTTTTTTTTAATAGTTCTCAAAATCTGAGCCAAAATCACATTAAACAACACGTTTGACCGCTTCATTGTTTTGGTTGGCATTTTTTTTTTAGTTTACTTGCATAGAAAGTTTAGTTTTTTTTTTTGTTAAAATTTAAAAAAGGTAAACCCTAAAATCCCGAAGCGCGTCCAACGTTATGTCATTGTAGCGAATGTGAATAAAGAAAGTTTTAAAAAAAACATAAACCACATAAAAATAAAAGCAAGACTAATGAAACGCATATAAAACAGAGATAGGAGATCCTAATATGAAACTAATACCAAAAGATTTGGAGAAGCAATGGCTGAAAGAATCTGAACCAATTGTGAAGGTAAGAAGTATTTGCTTCGGTATCCTTAATAGGCTGCAATTGGGAATGCATACGCCCATGCTCACCTCGATAAATAGCTGCCAATTTAGCCCCAAGAATCAAGTGGATTTCTTTAATTAAAATCTAGACCGATTTCGAAGATGCAGTGTGAAGCCTAAAGTTTCTTTCTTTCCAAAGGAAATAAACCACCGACTAAGAACCATATTTGTGATGACTTTGAGCTTCTTTGGAGGAAGGAGAGACATGATCCAAATCAGACAGGCCTCAAAAGATAAAGTGGACACTGAACCTGAATCAGAAAATATGGAAGTGAGAAGCTCGGAGGAGTAAGCGCAATCAAAAAAGAGATGATCTCTTGTTTCCGGGTGAGCTCCACATAGCAGGCACTCAGCAGGAACATTTAAACCCCAACTGCGAAGCCTGTCTCTAGAAGGTAATTGTTCCTTGTCACAACCCAGAACATGAAAGAATGTTTTGGGATCCTCACCTTAGGCCAAACCGCTTTGTACCATGAAACCAGCAGAGGAGAAGGGTGAAGCCTTTCCCAAGTCTTGGAGTTTAAGAAAAGATCTGGAGGCGATCCAATGGTATTTCTCTAAAGGAAGATATCCTTATCCGAGGACAAAGCCGCAGGGAGGTCAGCAGGAAGGCAAGCGCGAAGAAGAACAATACTACAAAAAAATTGCACATTAATAGCATATCGTAATAGCACGAATTGCGAAACTGCTATTGAAGATACGTTTGTAAGTTCTGAAACTTATAATAGCACTTAAACAGTGCTGAAATAAAATTATAATAATCAGAAACCAAATTTTGATAATCTGCCAACACTTAAGCAAAAAAAAAAAAAAACACTTATGCGCCATTTTCCCCTTTATCGAAAACACTTAGAGAGTTTCCCCCTTTTATCGAAATTTCCCTAAAACCTAACCATCTCCGACAAAATCTTTGTCGACCCTCAAAATTCGAGAAAACCTTCGCCGCCGCAACCACTACTTCTTCGCCGACCCTAATTCGTCCGTCTGAACTGAACAGTGATCTGAAATCGAGCGAAGGCATGTATTTCTTATCCTGATTTCTTTCCTCCTCACTCTAATTTCCTAATTTCGCGCTTAAGTAGACTACTTTTGACCAATTTCTCTGTTTATTAGAATCGATAGTCTGTCTTTTGTTTCTGGAAGTTTTGATTTAAGCTAGGGTTTATTAGAATCGATAATCTGTCTTTTGTACTTGTTCTTTCGCTCTGCATGCCTCTGTTCCTCGAGTTGGTGGACAATGTACCATCTAATTTTGATGAAACTGGAGATTAAGAACGAAAATTTTGGTTTATAGATGTAACTCATAACTTTGAACCTGCGCTGTTAGTTTCAATTGATATATTACACTTTATAAAGCATGGAATTTTCACATAACTCATCACTTTAGTTTCTGTGTAACTGCAGTTTAAGGAAGTTTCGATCTTACATAGGTTTTTCAGAATTGACAGTAAAAGAATGTATGCACGAGATCTGTTATCTCTTTTTTATCTGCTTTTTTTGGTGTATCACCGTCTAGGAGTTTAGCCGTAGCTGTTTACGTTTAATTATCTCTATATCTCATAGCTGTTTCTGTTAAACTGCATGCATATTCTCTTCACTTAAACAAATCATGTTATTCTTTTGCAAGTGCTGATCAACGCAAGATTTCTGGAATTGAAGCTTTATCTTTACCATAATCACAGGGCCACAGGTTAGCCCCGTATATCCCAATTTGAAGTGTTATATGAGTTTAGTTATCTGGCTGTGTGCTTTGTTTTTGGTGTTTATGGTATTATTATGATAGATGTAATTGCGTTTGCGAGCTTTATATATTTGCTGTAAACGATCGTTGCTGTCAAATATTGGATATACAGATCATTCACTATATTTTTTGTTAATTGGTAATTGGTAATTGGTTAATTTTTCTGCAATTGAGTTACTTGTTTGATATTTTCCTGTTTGTTCATTGTTATGGCACTGAGTTACTGGTTACTGGTTTGATATTGATTAATATCTGCTATTGTTATGTTTCTCGATTGTTTTGATAATGAATTTTAAATTGGTGTATCACACTAAAGGTTTTACGTAACTTAGTACATATAAGGGTGGAGAAGGCATGGGTACATCTTAGCAGGTATTAAAATCGATCAATATAAGTTAGGTTCTGTGGGAGTTTGTAGATTTTAAGTTTTTTTCCCCATGTATTTCTGTGTTTGAAGAGCGGATCCTGCTTATGAAAGTGGGGCTCGACATTTTGTACAATCTGTGGCTGCTGCATTAGGAGACTGCAGTGATCTGATGATATGTCCGTGTATTGATTGTCGAAATATAGTTCGTCAA